GTGTGTGAGTGTGGGTGTGGAGTGTGGGTGGGTGTGAGTAGGTGTGGATGGTGTGGGAGTGTGTAAGTGTGGGTGTGTGTGAGTGTGGGTATGGAGTGTGGGTGGGTGTGAGTAGGTGTGGGTGTAGGTGTGCATGTGATGAGAAGATCTACACCCACACCCATACCCACACCTACACACCCACGCCCACACCCACCCCACACCCACATCCTCTATGATTCCATTATTAGTTATGGGTATTTTGTAACACAACCATATTCTTATATCACTGGTTGTTTCGAATTGGAAAATTACTTAACATTTATCTAAAATTGCACTACCGATGTTTCGAGCTGCTATACGATGTCATCGTATGTGTTTACGCTTGCCTCCTCGAACAACGCTGTAGCTATTGTCACATGGAAGATTTCTCTTTTTTTTTTTATATTTCTCTCCATGATGATATCATTCTTATGGCTAGGAAAGTAACAAAGAACGATAACCAAGACTTTTTTGAATAATTTAAATTAACTCTTAATTACATTAATGAAAATTTTATAGTTCTTCTTGCTTTTTCAATCTCAGTTCATGGCATCGAATAACACGGACACCAAGATGAAATATAAGAAACCAAAAAAAAAAACACGCGATAAGAACATTATTCATTAAGTGATTGATCAATAAAGCATGAGTAACACATAAGAATGTAAGAAAGGTTTAAAGAAAATATATTTAAATCTGCGAGCCCCTCAAAAAATTAAATTTTCGTCGAGAACATGAAAGTTTAGATAAACACATGGGAAGATAGCCGAAGTGTAGGTGAATATTCGTCTTCTCTTCATTAACACCCACACCCACATCCTATGCTCATTTCTTAAACATAATTCAATTGTGAAGATTCGATAAGAAGAATATTGGTGTCCGGCTTAGGACGGAATATGAGTGTAAATGTGGGTAATGATATAGGCTTATGTAGGGTGTTGATGTCGTTGAAAAGAAAACCCACGCACATCCTGGGTATTTTTCATAATTCTGTGTATTGTGCTCGTATTGAAGCTCTTCAAACTAAGATGATGATGTTTACAGTATAGTGATGAGCGAACTGCACCAAAACAAAATTTTAAGAAAACCATATAAAAATGAAGAAAGAGAAAAGTTAGAGAAATTCGTTGGCCTTTGATATTCCGTTAGTGATTTCGAAATTTGTTGAGATCTAGGGTCATGATCGTTTTAGATTGATGTTAATTATTTTCTTTCAAATCATTATCTTCACATATCCAGCATCTTACATCTAAGTCCTTCGATTGATGTCCATTTTAATCGCAACTAAAAGTCACCAATAGGCAAAGTTATCTACAAAGGAATTATAACAGCATATGCTTTAGGAATTTCAATGAAGCAATATTTTAGTAGTGTTGTTTTGTTTTTAGAAGGATGAAATTGATATTTGTTCATTCTATTCCTGCTCTATACTGAAGCTTTGGATGAGACAATAGTTTTTTTTTGTGTTTTTCACTATGGTTTGGTCATGTACATCACACATCATCACATTTTGCTATTTTATTTTGTTTTTATTGATTATGCACATATTGATACGTTCTAAACTTTTTGCATACAACAATCCTCGAAGTGAAATGTAAAAGCATAGATGAGATTTAGTCCTTAGAGAATATGGCTACAATTGATTTGATAAGCTGATCAGCTTGCTCAGATCTTTAGTTTGAGATCAGATTAGATACATATCTTTAGTCGATGCTGATTGCTTTAACCTGATTACTATTTGAAATATGCGATAATAACATGATTTAGGTAGGATGATAAAACGACGTGATATATCAACGAAGAATATTAATTCATTTACACTTGAGAATACTATCGAGTCATAAAGACGGACTTTGAGACATATCGATCCATTCTATTTAGAATCATATTTGAAGTTCTCTTTGTCGAAATATTTACAGTACTTTTATTATGAAATCAATTATTAGCAAAATTAATTGAAAAACAATTCGCTATTATTCGATCCGATAGGCAACAATTTATGATGAATTTTTATGGTATTGAAATTAATTTTCTATCCTCCTGACGTTTTCGTTTATCTCTCACTTTTCAATTGGCAGTCATAGGATGGATTATTTTACTTTTATTCATTGATGGATGGATCTCTTTCAAGTACGACAGATACTCGAACGCGACATTTGCCCACTACAGAGAAGTGATTGCTTTATTTTTAAAAATATGATCTCAAGTGTAAGAATTAATTGTAAACCTGGTCAAGCATTAGCGAATTCGACATCATCGAACGTCATCTGTTTCGTCTGGATGTACAAGGAAATAAATGCCATAGATATACTCAATCAAATAGGCATCGGTTCTTGTGTCTTCTCTCTTCTATGCAATGCTTTCAAATGGCTTTGTTGCTCGCCACGTAAATGGTTAGGCTTAGTTTTGATTATTCTATTCGCTCTCGATGGAATAACAGTGGTGGTTTTGGTGTTTACTGTAACAATTTATATCTTAGCGACTGCAAATTTACTCTTGATAGGATTTTGTGGCATATTCATATTTAGGGTTGGCCAAAAGTTCTGAGAATATTAAATAAAAATATAAAGATAAGGAGATATTTTTAATTTTATTTTATCAAATGTTCAGGATAGTTCCCACTATTATTTATACCAAGTTCAATACTTTCTAACAATTTACTGAAAGTGTTTTTAAACTCTCTTTCTAAAAAATTTTTAGCTATCTTAGAAACCGCATGAGCACATCATATTTCACTTTGTTTTAAAATTTAGCGAAATTTTGTTATATCACGTCAGTTGTATTCTAGTACTACTAGTAATGAGGTATGGATTTATGTTATATAGGTTAACCAGAAGTCATTTGATGCGCGCTGGCTTATTGACGATGAATTGTCAAAGGTTATTGTTCATGGAGACAGATTTGAACCAAAACTTTGTTTCGTGTATTCTTTAAATCAAATAGTCCTGAGTGTAGATAAAAGTCAGACTATAGGTTACCAGTACTATTATGAAAGTTGTTTGAAGCCTTTTGTTAGTGTAATATGGAAACAAATAGAGACATCAAGTTCAAAATGTATAAAATTGCTTGATGATCATCATTGACTTCATACTCATCCAATGTTATTAATTATTTGACAGAAGAAGACATCAATGTAATGTCGCATTCACCATATCCATCGTATCGAGTACTACCTAATCTTTGTTTAAGTAATTCTGTTGAACGAAGTTTAATTGATTAAATAAATAAAATATGAAGTGCTCATGCGGTTTTTAAGGTAGCTAAAAGATTTTTCGAAAAAATGTTCAGGAGAACTGTTAATACATTATTAGAAAGAATTGAACTTGCTATAAATAATCACAACAACTAT